TGATTGGCATCATGAGTTATAGGACGTCAGCTGAACCCCAATTTATAGCTGGTTGGTCAGAAGTAGAAATAACAACCTGGGTTTGTAATTAGCATCTGAAGTAGAGGGCACTCTTATAAGATTGAGCCATTTACCTGTGGAATTTGATGTAATCTCCAGGTGTATAGTGTCAAAATTGAGCTGAATTATTGGGCACCCTGTTGGTGTCTGAAAATTGCTTATTGTTGTGAGGAAGCCTACACACACACACACACACACACACACACACACACACACACGCACACACTGGGTCGAGGAACCTAATTTAAGGACCAAGAAGGATTTATTCTTAGCATACAAGGATGGTTCAACATCTGCAAATGAATCAATGTGATACACATTAACAAAATTAAGTAGAAAAAGGTCATATTATTTCAAAAGATGCAGCAAAAAAAACTGAACAAAATTCAACATTCATTCATGATAAAAACTCTCAACAAAGTGGGTCTAGAGGAAATGTACTTCAATATAATAAAGGCCATATCTGACAGCTGACATCATACTCAATGATGAAAAACTGAAAGCTTTTCCTCAAAGGTCAAGAACAAGATAGAAGCTTACTCTCACTACTTTCATTCATCACAGTACTGGAAGACCTGGCTGGAGATATGAGAGAGAGAGAGAGAGAGAGAGAGAGGGAGAGGGAGAGAGGGAGGGAGAGAGAGGCATTCAGTTCTCAAAGGGAGAAGTAACTCTATTTCTGGGTGGTAGATATTATATATACAAAATCCTAAGGAATCCACTAAAAACTGTTATAACTAATAAACAAGTTCATTAGAGTTGTAGTATATAAAATCAAGACAAAAAATTATTTCTATACATTAACAATAAACTGCCTGAACAAATAAAGAAAATATTTCCATTTGCAATTTCATAAAAAAGAATAAAATATTTAGGAGGTGAACAATATGCCCACTGAAAACTATGACACTGATGAAAGAAATTGATGAAGACACAAATAAATGGAAAGACATTCCATGCTCATGGATTGGAAAAATTAATGTTGTTAAAATATCCATAATCCTCAAAGCAATCTACAGACTCAAGGCAAACCCAATCAAAATTCTAACTCAATTTTTCACACACAAAAAAACCCCTAAAATTTGTATGGAACCACAGAAGAGCCCAAAAAGCCAAAGCATTCTTGAGAAAGAAAAACAAAGCTGGAGGCAGATACTTCCTGATTTCAAACTCTATTAAAGAGCCCAATTGGAATGGCTCAGTGGTTGAGTGTTGACCTATAACACTCATGGTTTGATCACTGGTATGAGGCATGCAGGAGGCAGCCAATTGATGATTCTTTCTCACTGATGTGTCTATCTCTCTCTCCCTCTCCCTCTCTGAAGTCAATAAAAAATACTTTTTTAAAAGAGTGCTAAAAAAGCTATAATAATCAAACCTTATGGCATTGGCTTTACAACACATACATCAATAGAACAGAACAGAGAGTCCAGAAATAAACCCACATGTAAATGGTTAATTAAATTAAAAATAAAAAAAGAGAGAGAGCCTAGAGTATGTAATAGGAAAAAGATAGTTGCGCCCGGCTGGTGTAGTTCAGTGGTTGAGCGTTGACCGGTGCACCAAGAGATCGCTGGTTTAATCCAGTCAGGGCACATGCCTGGGTTGCAGGCTTAATCCCTGGTAGGCAGCATGCCAGAGGCAGCTGATAGATGTTTCTATCTTTCTCTCCTTTTTCCCTCTCACATCCACTCTACAAAAAAAAAAAAAAGACAGTTGCTACAATAAATGGTATTGGGAAAACTGAATAGCCACATGCAAAAGAATAAAACTGGACCCCCTACCTCATACCATACGTATAATCAACTCAAAATGGATTAAAGAAGAGAATATAAGACCTGAAACCATAAAACTCCTAGAAGAAAATATAGAGGATAAGCTCCTTAACATTGGTCTTGGCAATGATTTTTTTGATTTGACACCAAAAACAAAGGCAACAAAAGCCAAAATAAACAAGTGGGACTACATCAAACTAAAAATGTATGCAGAGTAAAAAGCTTCTATAAAAGGAAACCTAAGGAATGAAAGAAAATATCTGTAAACCATATATCTGATAACAATTTAATATCCAAATACATAGAGAACTCATATAACTCAATAGAAAACAAACTATCTGATTAAAAATGGGCAAAGTAACTGAATAGACCTTTCTACAAAAAGACATGCAAATGAATGCCCAACAGGTACGTGAAAAGTGCTAAACATAACTTATCATCTGGCGAATGCAAATCAAACTACAATGAGATATCATCTCACTTCTATTGGATGACTATCATAAAAAAGACAAGAAATAATAAATGCTAATAATGGTGAGAATATGGAGAAAAACAAATCCTTTGCACAGTTACTGGGAAAGCAAACTGGTGCAGCTGCTATGGAAAACAGTATGGAGGATCCTCAAAAATTAAAAATAGCCCAGTCTGCGTGGCTCAGTGTTTGGGCATCAACCTATGAACGAGGAGATCACAGTTTGATTCCCAGGCAGGGCACATGCCCGGGCTGTGAGCTCACTCCCCAGTGGGGCAATGATTCTCTCTCATCATTGAAGTTTCTCTCTCTCTCCCCCTTCCTCTCTAAAATCAATAAAAATATATTTAATTTTTTTTTAATAGAACTACCATATGAACCAAAAATCACACTTCTGGGCATATAATATACATATACAATAGGGAAATGAAAACAGGATATCAAAAAGGTACCAATAAACTCCCACGTTTATTGCAGCATTTTTCACAATAGTCAAGATATAGAAACAAGTATCCATCAATGGATGAATGAATAAAAAAAGAGGTGGTACCTATGTTATATACATGTATATGTATACACAATAAAATATTATTCAGCCTCAAGAAAGGAAATCCTCATTTGTGGCAACATGGATAGACCTATGAAGTCATTAAGGCAGACAGAGAAACACAAATACCATTTGATATCACTATGTGGAATCTAAAGAATCTGAACTCATAAGAAACAGACTAGAATGATGATTATCAGGGACTGGGGGCAGGGGGAGTGGGGAGGAGTTGGCCAAAGCATATACAAACTTCCATGTATAAGATGAGTACGTTCTGGGGACCCAATGTACTAGTACAGCATGGTGATTATAGGTAACGATACTGTACTAACACCTGAAAGTCACTAAGAGAGTAGAACTTAGATGTTCTCACCGCAAAGAAGAAATAGTACTTATGTGACATAAAGGTGGTAGTCCTTTTGCAATAATAAAAAAAAAAGTATGCATAAAGCACTTTGGTTACATAACAAAAAATGGTGGTTGCTAAGGGAAGAGCACTTGCACAAGTGTTTGAGCTGCCAGATCGACTAGCCTTTTTAAAACGGAAATTTCCAAGAATAGCTGGCAGACAGACAATGGTTGTTTAGACTTGAGTATTTGCACATCTTTCTCAAAAATTAATGAACACTAAGTACTTCAAGTACAATAACTTCAGTATTTGTAGCCAATGATAAATTTGAGGAAATTAACCAAAGAACTTATATGCACTGCCCATGGACATAGACAATAGTGTGGGGAAGGCCTGGGGTGATGTAGGAGCTGAATGGAGGGGTGCAAAGGAAGGGGGACATGGGGGAATACTGTCAACAATGAAAAAGAAATTTAAAAATTTATTTTTGTCAACATGAGCTTGACAGCTTTCCAATACTTAAAGCCATTCCTGATGAAACTAGTGGTGCAATTAATTAATGTTAAGTTTTGATACTGTACATCAAAACATGTTAATGTTTGGGATACTGCATAACAATGAACCCGTATTTTCCCAATGAACCATGAACAGAGCTACAATGTCTTGCTTGGACAAAAGACCCACGAACAGTGCAAGACACCAGTAGGTTTTTAATGTATCAGTATAAAAAGCTCACTGATATAATTTTATACTCTACATTACAACTACTTAAAAACAATAATACCATTTTCAAATTTTGGTGAGGTTTGCACGGAGAATATCCAGTGTTCTGAGATATCTATTAAATACTCCCGCCTTTTCCAACTATATGTGTGTGTAGATTTTCTTCATATATTTCCAAGACAACATATCACACCAGACAGAATATGAAAGATACATGAGAACCCAGCTATCTTCTTTAAGTTAGACAATAAAAGAGATGTACAAAAATGTAAACAATGCCACTCTTGTTAAACAATGTTTTGCTTGGGGAAGGTCATTGTTCTTTTTTAACTTTATTATTGAACTAGAGGCCCGATGCACAAAATTTGTGCAAGAGTAGGCCTTCGCAGCCGCGGCCCTCACAGCCCCAGCTTCGTCCGGAAGGTCATCCAGTCAGACATTCCGCTGTTAGGCCATTGGGTCAATTTGCATATTACGCTTTTATTGTTATAGAAGTATTACAAATGTCCTCTTTTCTCCCTCCTTTGACCTTCTCCACCCCACTGCACTCCCTCTCAGGCCTTCCCTGCACTGTTTGTCCATGGGCTTTGCATATATGCATAAAAGTTCTTTGTTTAATCTCTTCCCATCCCACCCACCTTTGGAAATATGTCAGTCTGTTGCCTGTTTCAATGTCTCTGGATCTGTTTTGTTTATCAGTTTATTTTCTTCATTAGATTCCACATATAAGTGAGATCGTGTGATATTTATCTTTCTCTGGCTGGCTTAGTTTGCTCCTGGAGAGTATTATGCTAAGCAAAAAGGTCATTGTTTTTAATAAAAATATGCTATTTGTGTTAACATGTAATCAATTTTTTGTTATTTTTAAATAAAATATTTTTAAGTTTTCTTTTAATTTCAAATATGATATAAATATTGATAGATATAGCCCACATGTTAACAAAGCTCACTGGGATCCTAATAATTTTAAGAACTTAGAGACCTAAACATCTGAAAACTGCATTTCCAACATACTGCAGAATTTAAGGAAAGGAAAAACAAGGTTGGGTGGGAGGATAAACAGACATTACTTACAGCAAAAAGGCCTCATTCACAGCATCAAAGAACTCAGGCCACAGCGTTTCCTGAGGTTCATGGCCATGGTAGGTGAGCAGAGCTTCCACCAGTGGTCCAAAATCAGGCAGGGTAATAAGTGGGATACAAACTCGTGATAGGGACCTTACTCGTTCAGGTGCCATTCTACAAAGTAAATAAAATAAGAAATAATTAGCCAATCTTAGCGCCACTTGTAATTAAAGACATGTAACATCTTCCTGCTGAACAGGCTGATGACAGGTTACTGCTCTGCCCTGCCATAAAGAGGACTGTCCTAATACCATCTGTGAATGCTCTTATGTACTCACTTCTCTAGAAAGAAACCCTGTCAGCAGTTTTCATTTTAACATCACTTATTTTCAGGACTTTGTCATAACCCACTATGGGCATCTCTAACTTGGGGTGTTTTTTTTTTTTTATCTTATAAAAATATACTTTTTTAAAAAAATTGATTTCAGAGATAGAAACATCAATAATGAGAATCATTGATTGGCTGCCTCCTGCCACTGGGAATCAAGCCTGCAACCTGTGTGCACCCTGACTGGGAATCAAACCAAACCGTGACCTCCTGGTAAACAGATCAACCCGAGCCACACAGGCCGGGCTCCAACTTACGTTTTAATGCTATTGAGTTGGCTCTGACTCCTGGAAACCCTATGAGTACTGTCCACAATGCCCTCTCCTCAAAAGTCCTGCTCAGCTCCTGTAGACTCATACCTTCTTTCATGGAATCAGTCCATCTTGTATTTGGCCTTCCTCTTTTCCTGCTGTTTTTCCCAGCATTATCATCTTTTCCAAAGAACCCTGCCTTTTTGTGATGTACCCAAAGTAGGACAGCTTCAGTTTTGTCATTTATGCCTTCAGCAATGTTTCAGACAATGAGCTCTAGGACCACATATTCACCTCCCATTACCCTGCCCAAGACAGAACTCTTGAATTCCTTCCCCCAATGTTCTCTTACCCTGCGCTTCCTGTCTCCTCTGGTCAAGCCCAAACCCTTGAAGTCCATTCTTGATAGCTCCCTTTCTCTTATGCCCCTTATCTGACCCAGCAGTAAATACTGACTCTTCATCTGACTACCTCTCAACACTTCCATCACTACCCCCTAATTCACTATCGCTCCCAGTCTGTTACAGTTGGAGCCTCCTAACTTTCTCCTGCTTCTGCCTTATCCCCCACGGTTTACCATCAGAACAGTTCCAGCAGATCTTTAAACATGCAGATCACTTCCCTTGCCTGCTCAAAGGTTTGCAATGGCGTCCCAACTCACAGAGAGAATAAGCAGTCTCATTCTAGCCACAAAAGCTCTCCATGGCGGGCCCCTCTGTTTCTCTGGCTTCATTTCCTCCCACTCTTACCCTTACCTGCTCTGCTCCGTACACGCCTCCACCCACACCTGATAAGGTCCTGTGGGAACACATGGCTAGCTCCTTCACGTCATATAGGTCTGAGCCCCAATGCTGCTTCATGTGAGGATTTCCCTGACCATCCCATACAAATACTGGCCAATATGGAAGCAATCTGCATATGTGGCAATTTAAGTTTATTTAATGAAACAAAATTTAAAATCCCATTTCTCTGTGTTCAACAATTACATGAGGCTAAAGGCTTACAGTATTGGACAGTGCAAATTTAGAGCAGAAAGCTCCACCGGAAAACAGTTTAACATAGCAAGAGCCCTCCCAGCTCACTGTGTCCGTCCTGTCTCATTCACCATTTCACTTCGGGTACTCTAATGAAGCTGATTGTTTAGTGTTCGTGGTCTGTTTCTTCCTGCGAGGACATCAGGTGTGTAAGGGCAGGCACATTTTTCTATTTTGCTCACTGCTCTATTCCTAGCATGTAGGGACAACTCCATATACATACTACATGCTCAAGAAATAGATAAGAAAAGAACTAGAGATAAATAAAATACATGCAATTAGATGCTTTTCTAGGAATAAATAATCACAAATCTTATGTTCTGGAAACACAAAAGGAATAACAATAGAACTTTCAGCTGTCCTTCATTTTACTAGCTACCTATTATTAAAAGAGTATGTGAGTGCTGTAATTTAACAATATCCTGATTTATAGGCACTGAGCTTGCTTCTAATTGTTCGCTATTATAAACACTGCTGCAGGGGTCCCCATCCTTGCTGTGCCTACTGTGTCTCATGTAATTATTTGTGTAGTAGATTGCATCCCATAAAACTACGTTTACTTTTCCAATCTTGCCAGTGATATTATTTTTAGTATTTTTATTTCTTGCTAATCTGGGCAAAATTATTTCATTGCTTTCATGTGCTCTTTCCTGATAACTTTCTAGATTATTATTATTTTTTCTAAATATATATTTTATTTATTCCTGACAGAGAGAGAGGAAGGGAGAGAGAAAGTTAGAAACATCGGTGAGAGAGAGTCATTGATCAGTTGCCTCTTGCACACCCCCTACTGGGGATGTGCCCGCAACCAAGGTACATGCCCTTGACCGGAATCGAACCCGGGACCCTTCAGTCCACAGGCTGACGCTCTATCCACCTAGCCAAACTGGTTTCGGCACTTTCTAGATTAATGTTTGTTACTCACTTGTGTTTCCTCTTCAGTGAATTCCTTTTTAAATTAGTGTATTTAGTGCTGTACACTTACTATATTCAAGGATGCTTACAAGTGTTAGAGACACAAGCCCAAAGACAAGCCCTAGAAATCCTACCTAATAAAAGAGTAATATGCAAATTAACCATCACTCTGCTACGCCCACCAGCCATGCCCACCAGCTAAATCAGAGCAAGTATGCAAATTAACCCCAACCAAGATAGCTGCAGCCACAGAGAACAGTTGAGAGGCTTGGGTTTCCCTGGCAATAGAGGAAGCCAAGTTTTCCACATACCCTGGCCAGCCTAGACCTCTACTCAAGGTTACAAAGTTTCAATTATAGAAGATAAAGCGCAAGAAAAATGGTAGCAGCCACGGAGCTGGAGAGAATAGGCTAGGGTTGCCTCCGGCAATAGAGTAAACCAAATTTTCCACCTGCCCTGGCCAGGCCTAGGCCTCCACTCCAGGCTACAAAGTTTTAATTGTAGAAGGTAAATAAATTCCAGATACCAGGGCCTCTGCTTAGGTTGCTGGGGGGCATGGCTGACCTGCAAACCACCACAGGCCCCTCTCCCAGGCCATCCCATGCCCCAAGGGAACCCCCACCCTGATCTGGGACACCTTTTAGGGCAAACCAGCTGGCCCCCAACCATGCACCACGCCTCTATCCTATCTAATAAAAGAGTGATATGCAGATTGACCATCACTCCAACACACAAGATTGCTGCCTCCACGTGGTCAAAGATCCTGCCCCCATGTGGGCACAAGATGGCCACCACAAGATGGCCAGCAGGGGAGGAAAGTTGGGAGGCACCAGGCCTGCAAGGGAGGGCAGTGGAGGCAATCATCCCTGCAGGGAAGGACAGATAGGGGTGACCAGGCTGGCAGAGGAGGGAAGTTGGGAGCAAACAGGCTGGCAGGGAAGAAGTTAGACATCAATCAGGCTGGCAAGGGAGTGGTTAGGGGGTGATCAGGCTGGCAGGCAGAAGTGGTTAGGGGCAATCAGGAAGGCAATCAGGAAGGCAAGCAGGCGAGCAGTTGGGAGCCAGCAGTCCTAGACTGTGAGAGGGATGTCCAACTGTCCAACTGGGATTGGGTCTCCAACGGGCAGTTGGACATCCCTCGAGGGGTCCCAGATTGGAGAGGGTGCAGGCTGGGCTGAGGGACACACCCCACCCTGTGCACGAATTTCATGCACCGGGCCTCTAGTGGAGAGAATAAAATTCCAGATGCTATCAAATGCCATGGTGAAAAGTTAAGCACACTGAAGGGTCAAGGAAGGCAGAGACTTAACTGAGGGGAACATTTGAGCAGAAATCTGAAGAAAATATATGAACAAACCATGTACATATCTGAGAGGAAAACGTTGCAGGCGGATACAAAGCAAATGTAAAGGCAATGAATACAGCAAGGAGGCCAAGGTTGTCAGACCACAGTGCATGTGGGAGGGCCTGAGTAGGACTTTTGTAGACTACAGGAAGAGCCTTGGATATTCTTTTTAACTTATTTAAAAAAAATTTTTTTTTATCAAACTTACAGATGCAACTGTTTTAAACAGTCAAACAGTTTTCTTTTTTTTCTTTTTTCTTTTTTTTTTAAATATATTTTATTGATTTTACACAGAGCGGAATTGAGAGGGACAGAGAGTTAGAAACGTCAATGAGAGAGAAACATCGACCAGCTGCCTCTTGCACACCCCCAACTGGGGATGTGCCCGCAACCAAGGCACATGCCCTTGACCGGAATCAAACCCGGGACCTTTCAGTCTGCGGGCCGACGCTCTATCCACTGAGCCAAACCGGCCCCGGCTCATTTTTTTGATTTTGTACAGAGAGGAAGGGAGAGAGATAGAGAGCTAGAAACATCGATGAGAGAACCATCGATCAGCTGCCTCTTGCACAACCCCTACTGGGGATATGCCCGCAACCAAAGTACATGCCCTATACCGGAATCGAACCCGGGTCCCGTCAATCCCCAAGCCGATGCTCTATCCATTGAGCTAAACCGGTCTCGGCAGTCAAACAGTTTTCAAAGCTTATGAAAAACAGTAGCTTTTGCAGAGCTACACACTTTCTGATCTTGGAGGCCCAACTCATTCCTTAATATCAATGCTGTTTCTCTTGGGTTTAATGACTTGTTATTTGACTGTTTGCTTATTTTTCCTTGCAATGATTATTTTAACCCCAAACTTCCACCCAAATGTATACTCTTCTTGAAATATATTCAGACATATCTGATTTTCATCTTCTTAAATAAACTTTTCTTAGAACATTCTGACCTGTTTCATTATGGACAGGTTGTTTTTGACTCTCACAGTGCAATTATTGTCTTGGGATCTTCATCCTTCGTGTCTCTCCAGGATCCCATATCTTCTTTTTTGGTTCATTCTTCTTATATAGGCAAAGATATATGAGAAGTAAAGTATTTGAGATCTTGTGTGTATGAAAATACCTTTATTTTACTCACACATTTGATTCTTCAGTTGAGTTTAGAATTCTGGTAGTTGTTCTACAGAGGTGTGAAAGTGGTGCCACTGTCCTTTTGCTTCATTTTTGTTCTTTAGAAGTGCC